CCCCAAGGAATAGTTCCTTGTCGGGTTATCGGAAGCCATTGGAGTTATTGAAGCGAACCAAGGGGCTCGTCAATAATGGGCAACATAGACACCTCTGGGTGTGGAATTGCTGGTGATAGGTTTCGGCGATGGGGCTGGGTGGCAGCTGCTCTGTTTGCAGTCCTTCTGGCTACGACAGTGATTCCAAGGAGAACTTTCTTCTTTAGAAATTCAAAGAAGACCTGCGAGTTAGCGGTACTTACCTTGAAATTCTCTTGAATTAGTTCAAATTTGCTTCAATTTTTTTAAAATTATTAATCTTGAAAATTGGTTTGCAGGACTCCAGAAAGTATACGGGCATCGTGGAAGACTGTGCTTGTGGCTATGAAACCGTGGATTCTCTCAACAAGGAGGTATTGCATCCCATTCTACAAGAGCTTGTCGGTACACCCTTCTTCCGGTATTTTAAGGTACAACTTGAAGTTTCTTGTTTTTTTTTTTTTCTTTAGTTTTTTATATTGTGTTGCTACTATTTTTGGAGTTCTTTTTTTCTTTTTTTATTTGTTTTTTTGATGAAAAGGGATGTTCGTAGTTTAGGACTTAGAAATTTTGCAACGAGCTCAAGTTTTTAGAATATTTTGGATTAGTGGATGAAGCAGGTAGATATGGTTCTGATAATTTTTACCCTGCAACTCTTTCAATGTTCAGGAATGCTAGAAATCAGTAAAATGCTAATATGGAACTTCATGTAAATCTATTGCAATTTTAATCAAATCATCGAGAGGATGGCACTGTAGACTAAAAAAAAAAAAAACAATAATGCCTCAGAAGTAGATAATAAAAACACCATGCAAATATATTTCTTACCTTTGAAGCGTCCACATGTTTGTTCACTACAAGATGTTAAGAATCTATTTTTCTAAGCATCACTAAACAAATATTTTTTTTGCCTGTGTATTATGTAATTTTAAATGTTTTTTTAGAATAATGTAGACATTGTTTCAATTTTTAAATAACAAGGTATGATGTTAAGTTCAAGAACAGATTGAATAACAATGTTTCTCTATGAAGCGCGCAATGATTTCCAAATGGCATCCGTGTTCATGTCAAACATGAGTTAGATACAAACATGGCTCTGATGCTCCTTGACATGAGTTCATCACTTCAAAATTTGTGTCGAAATTTTTGAAGTTTGAAATAGTTCTTCAACACTTACAAGATTTGGAGGGTCTGAACACGAATACGATGAAGGCGCGATTTAGAACTCAAAATGAGTGGACTTAAAATTGTAGTTTGTGAAGGAAATAATATATGTATTATTGCGTACACTAGTTGATTACTCAATTAGTGGCTTCATAATGGACATGAGTTAATTACTCAATTAGTGGAATAAATATAGGTTTATAA